AAGAGAATTAGATGTTAGTAGTTATAAATATGCATAAAAATCTGGACTGGACAGAGAATAAGATCGATCTTTTGGTAATATTTTCAATTTGTTACCAGATTGCGTCAGATTATCTGAGCTATGTTTAAGAGCAGAATGGTCTCTCTCTCTCTCTGTAGTTGCTGTCCTTTTCTTTCAGAAAAAATTTTGTGGGTAATGTTGTTAATGAAGACTATATTTGTGGGCTGTGCTCTATACTATACTAGCTTTACAAGAGAGAGCAGGCCTGAGAAGCTCACATTTACTCTCAGAAAAATAAGGTAAGGACAAAAGAAAATTTCCTTTAATAGTAATGGATTACAAGACATGAAATAGTCTCCTCATCATCAGTATAAATAGATAATATTTATTAGGTGCTTCTTAGGTCCCTATTATGTGTCATGGAAGTGATTTGTTGCTGTTAGTTTTTCTTTTTTCCTCCCATTTAATCCTGACAACAACTCTTTGAGGTACCAGATACTATTGTTTTTCTCATCTTATTGATGAGGAAATCTACGTAATGAAGATAAATACTTAACAAGGCACAGAATTAGTAACTTTCAGAGCTAAGATTAATATAACAAAACTTTCATCTCATGTCTTGTTCTTATTTACAACTCCCAACGATTTTTCTAACCTGCTTGTCTTACTCAGTAATTCACCACAAATGTTATTCTTTAACATTTAACATGGGCCGGCCCGGTGGCGCACTGGAGAGTGCGCCACTTGGGAGTGCGGCGGCGCTCCTGCCGNATGGAAAAGACCTCTCTAACTCTTAGTTTGAAAAAGGAATTTAACCCAGGCACTTGTTTTGTTGTACTTTCATGCATGTAGGGATAAAAAGGGAGTGCCAATGATACCCAACTAATTTGACCAACCTTCTGAGTATTTACATCTTTGGAATTATATACGTATCAATTTATGCATAATTACTAGCAGAACAGGTAGGCAGCTAAGTTAGCCCATTTATGTGTTTAAATTATTATTTTTTTTACAGATTTAGTAACTTTCACAAGACAGCATTAGTCCCTGAAGACTGGATGTCTTAGGAGACTCCATTACAGTATATAAACCATGCTGCCAAGGATGGGTTTATAATTTCTGGTAAGAGAATTAGATGTTAGTAGTTATAAATATGCATAAAAATCTGGACTGGACAGAGAATAAGATCGATCTTTTGGTAATATTTTCAATTTGTTACCAGATTGCGTCAGATTATCTGAGCTATGTTTAAGAGCAGAATGGTCTCTCTCT